TGTTTTTATAGAGATGTTTTCTTATATGATAATAAAAAGACTTATCTTATAAAAAGGACCACGAGGAAAGCTAGTCCTAGGTACAAACTTTCAAACAAAAAAAATATTTGACTTTATCTTTTACTGTGATAGAGTTCTGCTGGCACTAAATCGTTGATTCCACGTTCTGAGAGAAACGAATATTCTATATATATAAATGCATACTTTAATTCCATTAACAAGATCAATGGCACTTCGTCCACGAAATTTATTCCAACTTAAATCAATTGATTCTAATGAATCATTACTACCTACAAAGATTCAATTGATAGATTAGATTTAAACTTTATCAAGAATATATCTTACTAATAAATGCACCAAGTGTTTTACCACAGTGTTCACCAAAACAATTATGACTTAAATCGAGTTTACGTAAAATTTTATTTTGCTATAATTAAAATGAATTATTAATATTATATATATATATATATATATTTGATTTAATATAGATGAATGAACTAATTATCATCTTACAATTTGTATGAAATATTTCAAATAACTATAATATGTTTTTTGATTAGTATGAGATTAATTTTCGAAAAATAAATAAGATATAAAATATAGATTTAATTACTTCAAATGCTTCGATTAATTGTGCAATATCAAGTTCATTGAATTTATTTCCTAGAATAAAAATAATTAATATTCATAGAAAAGATAATAAATGAATTTATAATAATTTCTTTTCATACCTGATAAATTAATTTTTTTTAAATTTCGATTTAATGTTAATAATCTACATATTTCTTTTGTACCTTCATCACCACCAAGTCGATTATCAGCAAGAGACTATATACAAATATATTTACATTCGATTTTTTTGTTTCTTTAATCTTTGTTTTCTTACTAATTCTGTAATAGAATCATTTGTTAAAATTAATTGTGTAATATGTTTTGTTGCTTGTTGTTGTAAATAATTACCATCTAAGAATAAATGTTCAACATTAAGATTCGTCTATAACCATAGAAGAGAAGAAAAATAAAATATTTTGTTTTTTTTTTTTTTTTTTTGATAAAAATAAATTCATCTACATAAAGTGTTTTTGTTATAGCTCGAATGTCTTCTGTATTAAATTGATGATAACGTAAAGTCATTTCACTATCTTGTATATGTGCCATAAAATATGAACATGGAATTATATTTGCTTGTTGACAAAGTTCACGATATTGTTCTCTACCGGTTGGATCATGAACATTTTGTACAATAGATTCTATTTTAAAATAGAAATGTTATATAAGAATTTCATTTATATTGAATATATATATATATATATGCACACACCTGTTTCAATATCAGTATCATAATCTTCATGAGATACTATAGGATTATTTTCACTTGATGATGAAGATGATATCTCATCATCTACACTTATATCATCATCATCGTCGTCATCGATTGCAAGAAGATGTGGTGAAAATGGTTTTTCTTCTTCATCATCTTCTTCTTGTCGAGGAGGAGTCTTAGGTGGAATTTGATATGGCATTTTCTTTCGAAGTGCTTCTAAAATTGTTGCATAAACTTCATCTTGTTGAATTTCAGTAAGAAATGATCTTGGTATAAGTGATACATCAGTTAAAGTTAATACTTCATCAATATTTGTATCTAAAAAAAAAGAAAGAAATGTTCAAAGAATATTCAAACTATTTATTAAAATACCATCAACTTCAGTTATAATTTTCGTCGGTTGTGAATGATTTGTTTGTTTCGGATTTATTCCGAAAATGATTGATGTAGTTGCACTACTAATTTTTGTTGTACCAGATATTGGTCTTGGTTGAACAACACCACCGACAAGTTGTTTCGATGTAGAAACAGTTTTTTTTGATGTTGCTGTTGTTGTAGTATGTGTTCGATCTCGATTACGTGCTGTATCTGTTTGTACACGCTAGATATAAATAATAATTAATTAATTAATTAAAATAAATTTAAATCGAAATACCTGTTGATTTTTTAGAGGCATTTTTTTTTTCGCTGTGAATAAGTTACACGTTACCGACGCGAAATATTGTTTACACTACTGTCAGCACGTTTATGTTGCTGTGATGAAAATAGACATATACGATTAAAAAAGCATTACTTTTTTTCTTTACTCTCCCTATTTCTTTTTTTATTTCTTTCTATTAGAATTTTATAATGAAAAATGAAGAAAAAAAAAAGTAAAGTTTTATTTTGAAAAAAAAGATTGAATGACTATAATTTTTCTCCAATAACCTTGTATAATTTCTTTCAAAAAAAAAATTCAGGTTGTGCTATAAATTATACTGTTTTTTTTGAAGAATAATAATTGACTACCATTGTCATTCAATAAGAACAATGCGTGATCATGGAAATAAATACAAAAAAAGAGAACATCAAAAATTAATGTATGATAGATGTGCCATATGGTTTTCTTTTTCCATGCAATTTTAATCTCTATATCCTGTCACTAAACTATCACAATTGTTGTCTATCGATGATTTCCTATATAAGTTAATTAAAATAATTTTGTATTGAACAAAAAGAAAAATGATTTAAATTTTGATCGATCATTTAGATTTTGTAATTAGAATTATTACGAAAAGAAAATATCGCTACGAGAAATACTTCTGTTTTGAATTGTAAAAAAAAAAAAAAAACATTATTTTATTTAATGTTTCGTTAATCGATTCAGAATAATCTAATATGTTATTTTTTCATCTCGATTGTCAAATAAAATTTTTCATGCAAAAAAATATTGTTTTTATTTTCTTTTGAATCTTAAATTTAAAAACTAAATTATCTCGCCTATTAAAATTCTTTTACATTTAAAAACAGTTTTATTTATCATCTAAAAAGCCGAATCTATGTCGTTATTTTTCTTCTCTTCATTATCAATAGAGAAAAGAAAATAATATATTAGTTCATTAACTAACTACAATAGTTCGAACTTTCGATGACATTATTATTTTTTTTTAAAACCGTTAAGTTACTTTCTTTTTCTCTTTTCTTCTCATTCTCATAAGAGATTTATGCGTAAGCAAAAAACAAGGTATGCAAGTGTTACTTTTAATAACACTTCATCTCTCATCATTGCTAGGACGAGAGAAAAGTATGCTCAAGTGTTGTGACTGAAAACTTGTTTTTTTTTTATATCAAATATATATTATTAATCCGCTAGAACATTTTTATTGCATACATTTTTTTTTTCTTGGCTACAATTCTGCTGATAATAGTAAGTAGAATAATGTACTAAAGATATGAAGAATGTTCATTAAATTTTGACTTGTTTAATCAATATAATTTTTATGCATGCTGTATTAATGGAAAAGGCTTATCTATATTAACAGTAGATGTGCTAGTTGTATCGATCTATTATCTGTCAGATATTGAACTTTTATTCCTATAAGAGTACAAAAATTTCATAGAAACTTTTTGAATTATTTTTTAATGCTTCTTCAATTATGTTTAAGGAAACAGTTACGAATGAGAGGAGTTTGATAAATGAAATGCTCTAAATAACATAAATGACATTATATACGCAGCTTCATATATATGTTCTTCATCTTGATCGATTCGATATTTTTTCTATGATTTATAGTTCATGCCAGAAAATATTTTCTTCTGGTTTGTCATGTATTTGCCGAATTCATCGTCACTTTCGAATTGTTCTTCTCTTAATTGTTGTCTTTTGTGGAACTCACATACATTTTCGAAGAAAATAGTCAGTGTAAGTTTTAAATCGAGGTGCTACCACTCCGCCTTCTCCCTAGCCCTTCCATTACAGACATTAGTAACTCCTTCTATTATAGACCGTTACAAACAAATTAATTAATTAGCCAATTAGTAAAATGATGAATTAATTAATTAATAACTAATATTTTAACATGTATCGTATAGATATTATAATTAAGTAAATAGAAGTTATGTATTGAAGATATATTGGAGAATAAAAATAACTTTTTTTTCAACATTAGAATGTTAAATGAATCAAATAAATTGTTAGAAAAGTAATTATAAATATGAGGCTTCGACAAAGTAAAATTTCAGAGCGCAGGTATTAACTATAAAAATTCTGATTTATTCATTTATTTGATTATTTTTTTAATAAGCTGTTTTAAAACTTCTGACAATATATCATAAATTTATAACAGTCAGACGATTGTGAGTTTCACATTTTGGTCTCACAAGAGACCGTATTGACAAGTTTTCTTGTTGGATTCCATAAATTAAATTGAAAATGACCACGAATTTGAAAAAAACAAATGATACAACAGCAGAAAGTATTTTTTGATAAGAACTATAAACTATAGAACAAGCATCGACTTGATTATCGTCAGGCTCCTTTCATTCGCAACTGTATTCTTGAAAATAATTGAAGAAGCATTAAAAGTTCAAAAGCTAAAATTCTGGCATATCATAGATAGATACAATTAATATATGAACCTTTTCCATTAATGAAACATGTAAAAAAAAACACCTATTACTGATTAAGTAGGTTAAAGTTTAGTGAGCATCTTTCATGTTGTACCAAATAAGAACCAAAAAAAAAGCTAAATGTAGTTTACCATATAGTAACAAAGAGATATGGACCAAACGTATAACGAAAAAGAGAATAATTTAAAGTATCTGATTTATAATCATAATTTTAAGAACAATGAAGTTTTCTATCCTAATACACTTTGATTTTTTAATTTCTAATCATATAGTAAATTCTCTTAGTAATTAATGTTTTATGTTTCATTTAATAGAACTCTGCAAATCATGACAGATACTATAAGTTCTCGTTATGGTACGACGTATCTTCTTCAACGAGCTAAGTAAGTTTCAAAAAAAAAGCAAAAGAATTTTTCTCTTCATCTAATGTACATTCAAAACAAAAACAAATCAGGGACAGAGAGGAGAGAGAGAGAGAAAGAAACATATTGTTATATATTTAATGGGTTTAAAACTATTTTCACCATTACCATCAAATGGACTACTATAAATAAGAGAGTGAAAAATAATGAAAACAAGAGAAACAACAACAACAACAACAAATAATTTCTCTTATTGCACTGGTGTTCTTGATCAGCTGCAGAAAGCCAACAAAATGGACGGTGTAAAAGTAGCTCCATATCGATTAATAGGTGGACTTCGACATTCTCAAAGTCTAAATAATCTTTCAACAATATCGAGTCCACGAAAAAATTGGCCATCTTTCGAACAGGTGAGATAATCATTTCATCTTTTTAGATCATCAGTTCCTTCATTTCGTTGTAAACCGGTCGCACCTACTCCACCATCAAAAATTCAACGAGAATCAACCGTTGTATTGCATATTGATAAGGTTTGTTCTGTCTTAAAAGTCTCTACGATTTTCAAAAATCTTAAATTTTTAATTTTTGTCTTTATAAATTAATATAACATCTGTATATCGAATATATGTATAATTATTTAGAATTCTTCATCAAATGGCTTTCGAGGTAAATACATATATGTATATATTGTTTATTATTGACGACGATGTTTTTTATTTAGGAAGTACAGATTCACTTCATCGCAGCTGTGATACTATTGAACAACAACAACAACAACAACAAATATATGATAATCATGGATATAATAATGATAATCTTGTTACAACAAAAATAAAACCATTTAATAATAATCCACCATTACCTCAAACACAACGGTATTAATAAATTTTGATCTAAAAGAAACAAAAATAAAAAAAACAAATTTTCATTTTATTTCTTAAAGAGAGGTTCTTGGTAATAATTTTTATTTTAATCCATCATCACAAACTAATGGTTGGAATAATATTGATAATGAACAATTAAATTCTTTAATGCTTTATCGTAATGCTTTAAAACAAAATTTAACAACAACTTCTAGAACTAATAGTGCTACTTCAAAGTAAGAATTATTAAAATATATTTAATAAAAGATATTTTATCATTTTTCTTTAGAATACATTTTGGTCGTAGTGGAGGTCATTGGCCTCATATCAAACAAACAAATACATATTCTGCAGCAAATCTTTTATTTATTGATGGTTATAAAATAATTTTCTTTTTGTTTTTCTTTTCTATTATTTATTTTATTTTATTTAGGTACAGTACAAATTAATGATAATATAAAATATCCAACGCATCGTTTTGGTCATTTTCCGATGCTACGAGCACAACATTCATTTACATCATCATCAAATCAAGATTTATCAAATAAAACACCAAATTTAACAACAAAATCATTAGATTCTATGACATGGTCAGCAACAGATCAAATTAATCAGCGACCATCTTTATCACAATATTCAAATCGTTATGAACGTCATGCAAAAGATGGTTTTGCTTATTGGCCAACAGATGTAACCTATAACAAACCACGATGTAAGTATTTTTGTAAAACATTATCTAAAAGAAATTTTGAAGTATATAGAGTAGAAATTTGTACTTCTTCTCGGCCACCATAAATCATAACTGATATTACCATGAAGACATCATAGATACTTTAGCAACGCTCCGTTCCTACGTACGACAACGTGAGAGATGTTGTTAATATATGATCGAAGATCGTATATTAATAACATCTTGTTATCGTACATGAACCACTTTCTTATTGTATTTTTCGAGGGATGATGAAGAAATCTACCTGAAAATAGATGGAATAAATCAACCTCCCTTTGATATTTCATATTTTAATCTAGCAGGGAGCTGGTGCGCTAATAGTTTTTAAAATTGTAAAACTGGCGGATCATATTTAGTATATTTAGCAATGGATAGTTATAATAATAATCAATGAGGTGAGAGAAAACTTATCATTTGAATATAACTGAACATAAATTCATTTTATTAAAAAGAGTCGATCGATTTGTTTCTGCATATATGCAAAAAGCTATAAAAAAAAATCTTTATATTTTAGGTAAACCAGGAACTACTGGAACATATAAAAGATGGCTTGGTTTAAGTGATTCTATTCTTAAACTTTAAAAATTGATTGAACACTTATAATTATTTATTCCTTATTTTCATATTCTAATTTCCTTATATATATCCTTAGGCGATCCTATCTCAATTTCATATAGAGAATTTGAGAACATTTTCTTTTTATATAGAGTGATAGTAAAAACAAAGTTCTACATTTCTATACTATTGGATCATTAATCATCTAATATCATAATAATAAAATTTCCATTAGACTTGTTTAGGTATGATATATAACGATAAGATTAGTCCATATTGTCTTCTCCTCTCTTTTCTTTATTCTTGTCTCTTTGGATGCTTAACTGTCTAATACACATATAAGAATATACAAAACAGTAGTGGGGATAGAACAAAAAAAGGAATACAGAAATAAGCTTTTATTTCATCAAATGTTCGAAATAATCATCTTAGTGATCCACACACAATTGCATTCGTTGAATCTATTTATCGAATTTATGTAGTCAACGAATTCATGAGACTATTGTCCTCACCCTCACGAATAAAGAGAAAATCCAGACAATATAAACTTCTGATGTTATATGAATAATGATCCAATAGTGTAGAAATGTAGAGTTTTGTTTGTACTATCAGACTATATAAAAAGAAAATTTTCTCAAACCCTCTATATGAAATTGAGACTGGACCGACACTACACTTTTGGTATGTCCTAAATATATATAGTTTTTGTCTTTTACTAAAAAATATTTTACTTTTTCAAAGTCATTTTATTGAATTAATATATGGTTTTTTTTTCGTATCCATTCATTTTTATAAGTTCAAATAAAGAAAATATAATTGAAAGTCTACGACTGATTGAATAAAATTCAAACATTGGAAATAACAATCAAAGCGAATTATCATCATATATTTTGATATAAAGGATATTCTTTTTTTCCGGTTACAAATATTGCTAATGTATTGCATGTTCCATTTGCGGAATAATAATAATAATACATGCAAGATTGTACTCTCAATATAATTGAAAGACTTCGAATGATTCTTAATGTATGATTCAATCGGGAAATCTTACAATAATAGCTAATACAACAACAACAACCTGATTATATAAATTCTATCATCAATAAAACATTTTAAGATCTCACAATAGGAACTTTTATGATCGTGGTAAGATCATTTTGTCAGATCTTATATGCAGCTTAATGTATGTTTTGATATAAGATTTCTGAAACCATGATTTTGACGTAACATCTGATACGAACGTACAAGAATCTGTCACCAATCTTATTGTCTGATATTCTGACGTAGATATACATATATATATATATCAGCACTATGATATTCAATTAGATCATTCGATTGATAGTTTCTATAGTGAAATATATTAAATCTATGTTGTAATTCATTTTCTTGAGTTCATACATTTCGGCTCGTGTATTAGAAAAAAAAAGGTCAGTCATACTATGGATGCATAAATATATGAAAGAAAAAATGCAAACAAAAAAGAAAAACATATTATCTTCGTCCAGTTGTTCTACCAAGAATAAGACTAGTCGTTAATGGTGACATTCTTTCAATTACTTGTCGAATAGAAGTTACATCTTGATGAAGACGATTAACAGCTAATTGTAAATCAGTAATACGTTCATTTAAATTTTGTGAAAAAGGTTCAACATGAGTTGTAATATGTGTTCCTGTTGGTGGTGGCAAATTAATTTGTTGACGATGAGAAGATGTTATACTTGCAGCTGATGGGCGTTTTGTACTAGCTATACTACTCATTGAACCGGGTAATGTTCGCGTAGTATTAATAATTCGATCATTTTGTCCAGCAAGTGTTTCTTCTAATAATTCTCTTAATCGTGTTAATTCTTCAGCTATATTTATTGTTGGTTCTGTTATTGATGATGGTTGAACTTTACTTAATTGTTCTGTACTTTGATTTATTAAAGAATCTTTTGATGATAATGATTGTATATTTGTTGTATCTGTTTGTTTTGTATTTTCTTGTAATGTTGGTGTTATTTTTGCTAAATTTTGTTTTGATATTATTGTTGTTGATTGTAATTTTGTTAATGTTGAATCAATATCATTTAATTTTTGTTGTACTTGTATACGAAATGTATTAAAATGTATATTATGTTTATCAATTGTTTGTCGAAAATGAGTAAATGCTTTAGCTTGTTGTTCTTCACGTGAATGTCCAAATGCATTAAAATTAATATCTTTCCAATCTAATTGTAATGGTGAACATTGACGATGAATCATTTCTTGTAGTTGTAAACGTCGACGTGCAGAAAAACGCCATTCACAATTTAATATAACTGTTATACGTTCAAGAAGAAAACGAGCTTCAACTGTTGAAAATGCTTCTGTTTGTAATGCATTTGATATAAGACCAATAAATATATTAACAGCTAATATTGCAGTAAATAAAAGATATGTACTACAAACAAATGCAGCAAAATGACGATCAATTAAATTAAATGCAGCAACTGGAACTATAAATACAAAGATAAAGGAAAAACGAGAAAAATAACATATCAATTATGATTTAGAAGTTTGTTTTTTTTTTTGTAATTCTTACTATCATCAACTAATGCAATACGAAAAATAGAAAAAAGTAATGAATAGAATGTATCAAAACCATCTGGTTCAATTAGATGACATGAATGTGTTGCATTATAACATAAATCTCCAGCATTAGATGATGTTCCATTAAATACATAACGATGATTATTTTCAAGTGGATCAGAATCATTATCCTTAGATGTAATGATTTCAACAATAGGACAATGAAGTAATGCATTTTCACAAAGTTCAGGTGTTTTATCATAATCAGTAGCAATAATTTGTTTACGACCAAATACAGCAAAGAAAACGAATGCATATGGTAAAAGAAGAAAAGCAAAAACTGATAGAAAACGTATTATATCATCGAACATCATGCGAACCTAAAAAATATCATATAACATCTTTAGTACAATATATAGAGAAGTTATTGAGATCTGGATTTTTTCTTTTAGATTTATTGAATTTATTTAAACTATAAAATTTATCGATTAACTAGGATGAACAATGTTTGTTGTTTAGATTTCGATAAAATCTGATAGAGTTCAATTGGAAGTTCTAAGAATTGGGTTAACTCCGATGATTGGAGTCTCATAATTAGGATTTCGATAGGATTGTCTGTAGAAAGGTTGAAAAGAAAAATATTGAAAAAAAGAGTGATGTCTCCGAAGTAAATGTGAAGAAAAGAATAACGTAGCTACTCAGCTATGATGGCAGATGAAGAGAAGACTACGATCCATACTCATATCCCTTATGCCAAAAATAAAGAATCTCTTGTTAGTTGAAATTTTCGACATTTTTCTTTTCGACCTTTTAACAGCATGTTTTCGACAGGATCTAGAACGATTCTATTTGGATAATAGTAACTACGTAATATATTTTAACTGTACCAAAAGCAAGCCGTAGTTCAACAGAGCCAGCCATCATCTCAACCTCATGCACTGTGCTAAATTCTATCTTACGAGGAAATATTCCCAGGTGTCTCGCTCCGATCTTGTTCGTTTATATGTCATTCGATAGAAGACTTCGAGTAGATAAAAAGCATACAAGAGTTCTGGCTGACGGCTTTTTCTTCGGAAGTTACGATCAATTTTCTGATTTTTCCAGTGAAAGTTAACATAAAAAGAAAAATTCATAACTCCATCAAGGAAACTCATAGAGAGTCGAAATTTGTTTTGGTGATAGTCTTAAGGATCTTCTATATGCTCTGAAAGTTTCACAATTCTATCACTTTCTTTTCCCTAGTTATAAGACATTTCTATCAGTAAGGGTGTGAGTATGAGTGTAGGCGTCAGTGCTCCCTTTGCCCACACCCTTATCCTTAATTATAGAAATGTCCTGTAACTAGGGAAAAGAGAGTAATAGAATTGTGAAACTTCTAGAGTATATCGAGGATCCTTAAAGACTACCATCAAAGCAAATTTTGGCTCTTGATGAGTTTCCTTGATGGAGTTATGAATTTTTCTTTTTTGTGCTAGTTTTCGCTGGAAAAATCAGAAAACTGATCGTAACTTCCGAAGAAAAAGCTGTCGGCTGGAACTCTTGTATGCTTTTTATCTACTCGAGATCCTCTATCGAATGATATATCAACGAGCAAAATCGGAGCGAAACACATGGGAACATTTCTTCGTTAGCTAAAGTTCATCGTAAACTCAAATCCAGCCGAATTCAGGTATTCTATACACATAATAGATGTTATTTATATTTGGTTATTATTATTAATACTGTAATGGAACTTATTAAATCCATTCTTCAATCGCATCGAATAGGTTCTACTGGAAGTACGAATTCGATCGAATTCAAAATCTTCATATAATTAACTATAACCAGTATTTATTCATGTGCATAGTTCAATGCAATAGTACTCGTGTCTTATTAAACTTACCATAATAACTAATTCACCTAATTTAACTTCAACTATTTTTGCTCGTAATGTTTTAAATGAAATAGATATTGTACGAAAAAAGACCATAAATCGAAACCATATACATAATACTGTAACTGATGCAACATACATATGAATACGTGCACGTGTTACAGTATGATAACGAATATCAATAACATGTGTTATTATTGTTGTTAAACAAAGTAGATAAACAATCCAATCAAATAAATTATTTAATGAATAATACATATCATATGATTTATAACGTTTTTTTGCACTAGTTTTAAAACGTTGAAGAAATTGAACAAATCTTGATGATGTCACAGGTTGATTTTTTTCAGATGTATTTTTTGTATCATTAAATCCACTTTTCTTTTTCGAACCATTCATAAAATTATTTGAAGAATCAATTGGATTAATTGATACATCTAATGGTTGTTGTTGATTTGGTAAAGGTTCACTAGGTTTACCTTTGATTATTGTTGGTATTGTTGGTGGTAATGGATTATGTTGAGAATGATGAGAACGCATTCCTGGTAAAGTAACATTTGATGATATATTTGTTCCTGTTGTTGTTTCATTAATAGTTATATGTTCTGTATCACCAGCATCATTTTCAAGTTTTCGAAGATTAGTATTTGTTGATTGTAAAGCTGTAGTTGATTTATATTTATTTTTTGAAATTAAATCTAATCGATTTTGTGTTCGTTCACTTTCCCAAATAAGATAATCTTCATAACGTTTTCTTGCATAAATTATATCATATATTTCAAGAATAAAAGCTCCTATTAAAAAACCAATACTACCTGTCCATAATACACAACGCCAAATATCTTGAGGAAAACTATAAATATGACGAATAGGAAATTGACCTATTAATGAAATACATGTCCATAAAATAAGAAATAAAACTTCAAATGCTAAACGAAGATAAAAATGTCTTGCTGCATAATTATCCCATTTCCATTTAATAAGACCTTTAAAATTAAAATAGAAAATTTGATTTTAGTTAATGAATATAAATGATCATATATAAACAAGAAAAAAACAAAGACATGAACAGATAGAAGTTAGTCAATATTTTATCTCATGTGAGTATAGTCTTTCTATTTTTGTAAAAAACAACGATCTAAAAGGAATTTTGAAGTATAAGAGTAGTGATTTTTAGCGTTCATGATAGTCATTGTCGATATACGATCATAGATTTCGTTATTATATGTGAAGTACTCGCTTATTAAGTTTCTATCGTGTTTCACACTTTAGCTCTGCAGAGTTCGTGCTAAGAGTTTATTCTTTTAATTTTTGTATTTTTCTAGTTTTGATGAGAATGAAAAATAAAAACATAAACTACCTTTAATAAGTGGATGAGTTATTAAGTCAAGACGTTCATGATAATAAATAGCTTCTAATGGTGTTATTGGACGATAATGTGTACCATCAGGTCGAAATTTTGTTGTACCTGGTGTCGAAGGAACATGCGAAGGAAATGTTGTGGATTCTGATGCATTAGTAAAAGATGGTCTAGTTGGATTTATAAAAGGATTGATATTTGGAGATGGACCTACTGATTTATTTGTAGCTAATGAGGATGATGACGCACCAGCATTAATTTGTACAAGTGGTAATGTTGAAGATGTTTCTCTAGCACGATTTTTTGCATGTGGCTAAAAAATTAATTATATACATAAATATATTTATAAATAAATGAAACAGCAAACCATTCGACTAGCAGCAGCAAATACTAATTGATTAAGATTTGATGATTCACTTAAATCAATTTTATCATATTCTTCCCTAACAAAAAAAAAAGAACAAATTCAATGATATTTTGTTCAATTTTGTTTTTTTTTTTAATTCTTTACCATGGTTCAATATGATCAAGATAAAGATGAATAGCTTTTTGTACTTCATTAACAACAATTAATGAATCCATTATATCAAGTGCAATAGTACTTGATTCATCACTGAATAATAATGCTAAAAATATTTGCATACTGTTATCAAGTGATTTATATAAACAAACATTGCATTTAGCACATGGTCGTATATTTTGTCCAGATGTTGATTCAATTAAACCTGTTTGATCACAATTAAAACATTGTCGTTTAGCTTGTGTAACACCAGTTAGTGATACACCACAATGACCATCACGTAATGAATGTGATAAATATTCATAAGATTCTTTCCATTTAAAATTAATTAATTTAATAACAGCATAATGTCGAAATTTATTTGCTAACTCCATTGGTGTTTTATTTTCACTATTTTTTGTTAACATCATATTAGCCCAAAACCAAAATTTAACACGAGATAAATTAAGAAAACATGTTAGAGCATTTGGTGTATCTTCACGAGCTAGAATAAATAATAATAATAATAATTAAAGAAATTTTTTTTCTGCAAATTTGTTTAAATTAACAAATTTTATGTAAAAATTTGGATTTAAAAAAATTAGCACATGAATCTGTTGAATTATGAATGCTAGCTTAAAAATTGACTCGAGAATAAGTTTTCAGACGTTTAATATTTATTTTTTCGTTCTAAAATTAAATCGTACATATAAATTTTATATACGAGTGTTTGAAAAGAAAAATATTTCATGAGAGTCAGAAACTGAACCAATGAGAGAATGTTTTCAGATGTCCTTGTTGTTGTCTAATTGAGATTATGCGCATCATGTCAACTAACAGTGAGCTCCCAATAGTAGAGCGCATCAGGTTGGTCTCGGCTGGAAAATTTTGGATCCGACAGGCTCTACTCAATAGCCAGAAAAGAGTTTATCTTCATAGAGAAAGTAGAGATGTCCATGACGACACTGCCATTGTCGTGGCGGTGCTGACGGCAGTGGCAGCATTTTTTTGGGGTGGACATTGAAAAACTGTACGAATTTAATAGAATTTGAGGGTTTACAAATGAAACACTCTGAGACTGAATGAATCTGATGGACTAGTACTAATATTTCTGGTTAAATATAGGCACAGCAGTGAAATTAGAAACGCTTTTTTGAAAACCGCCGCGGCACGACAGCGGCAGATTTTTCAGCTGCGATGGACATCTCTGAGAGAAAGGTCTCGACAAGTTTACTTTTATTTTGAAGATTTCATATTTTTTGATTATTTCGTTTCGAAATACTGAAAATTAAACATTTTAGAGACAACATATCATTTAGTCTTGATTCCAATTTCATTCAATGGAATCAAAATGACATTTTTGTTTTATTAAAAGGCTATACGAAAAATAAAATCTATTAAATCTATCAATAAATATATTAATTGAACATTAATATAGATAATTCGATTGGTTGATTTTTCATCAAAGAAAAAAAAACAAAATTTTATTTATATATTATACCTGCAATATGAAGTAAATTATCACCAAAAGTTAAACTACGTTCGGATAAATATGTTAATAAGTCACTGTCAGATATAAATGAAAGTAATGTTTCAAGACAAACTAAATTATTGAAATCTTTTCTCATAAATATATGTATAATCATATCACCATGTGTTGTTGAACGTATACGTAAACAATTACGATCTTTTTCAATTAATAATTTAATCATTTCATAATTATTCATTTGTATAGCCATTTTTAAATCAGTTAATTGTACATGAACATTATCTTGATTAAGTAAAAATTTACTAACATCATCATGATTATATAATATTGCTAAAGCAAGTGGTGATTGATTATCAGCATTTGATAGATTTATATCAACATTTGATGATTTTATTAATGTACGTACTAATTCAATATTACCTGATAAATAAAATAAAGTTAATAGAATTAATTTTCAAATTTCAAAAATGAAGTAATAAAACAAAACAATATTCTCAGAAAAAACGAGTCGGCCATCGGTTAAATCTCTTTTAACATTCGATGTGCACTCTTTTTTTTAAAAATTCCTTGCAATACAGTTTAATAGCTAATATCATTAAGGCACGGACCACTCGGCGGAGCGGCCACCCAGCAATGGCGCGGGGTGCACGTCTGTGGTGGCTGTGGCTGTAGTTTAAATGTGAATGAAGGTGAGGGTAGTGCTAAGATTGATCGTAAGAACACGTCATTGAAATAGAACAAATAGTCGTTGTTACCGTAATTGGAAAACAGCGAAATAACATGTCTCGTTTGTTTATCTCTAATAGCTGTTTTTCTAGTGATGATGTAATAAAAATTGGTAACAATTTCAGATTTGTCATGATCTAAACGTACATCTCTCATTCTTTAAACTTCACATCAATTCATGCTTCATATTTTGCTTTTGTTAAATATTAATTTCTTGATTTATTTTAAATTATTATTAACTGAATTTATAAACTTATCAAGCAGATTCACTTCTGCTTTGTTTTACAAAAAAGCACAATCCTTGAGTCTTGTCTTCTCAGGAAAGCTAGTCACAACCAGGAATTTTATAATACTTAACTATTAGAATAATTATTAATTAATAAAAATACGAATTCTAACAGAACATATCTAGTTACAACTATGGTCTAATTGATAAAACTTTCTAACAATTCTTTTATAATTCGAAAATATTCTTGAAAATATTTCTATTTCTTTTAATATATACCTTTTTCTGTTGCTGAATGTAAAGGAGTATTTTCTCCTATATCTTTTGCATTTCCATCTGCTCCATGTCGAATTAAATATTTTGCTAATGAACCATTTATATTATCAGCACATTCATGTAATGGTGTACGTCCTTCTATATCTAATAAATTCATTTGATCAGTTTTCATTTTATTAATTAATATAGCAGCAACATTAGGTTTTTCATTTGCACAAGCTAAATGTAATGGTGTTTTGCCCATTTTATTGACTGCAATTAAATCAAGTTGTGGATATTTCATTAATAATCTACACATTTTAATATTATCATCTCTTGCAGCTAAATGTAATGGTGTATTTCCATCTTTATTTGTTAAACTAACATCAGCACCATTTTGAAGAAGATATTGTGCAAATGGATAATTATCATATAAAATTGCATCATGTAATGGTGTTTGTCCATCACGATTTTGTGTATTTAATGATAATGGACTTGATTTTAAAACTGTATCATAAACAAAATTATCGTCTAAATATTTGCAATAATGTAATGCTGTATTTGATAATGAATCAACAATATTTATATTTGTTAATTCAATATGACGAAAAAATGCAGTAATTAATTGAAAATTTTTTTGTTCAAGTGCTTCAAGAAATGGTGTACGTCCAAGATGATTTTGTCGATTAAAATCAACTGATAATTCAATTAATTTTTCAATATATTTATCATAATCAACATCTTTTTTATTAACTAAATAATGTAAAAATGTATTACCACGTTCATCACATGCATCTATATCAAGTGAATGTTGAACAAGTAATTCAATAGCATATATACTTGGAAAATCACATAATAATGGTGAACGTGGTAATTGTGACAAATAACGTTTCCAATTAAAATTAATTGTTAATTCAAATAGAATTTTTAAACATAAATCATGTTGATATTTAACACATATAGTTATTGGTGTTTCTTGAGGATTTAAACGTGTACCTTTTTGAAAATCAGCATCATTTTCAAGTAAAGCTTTTAATGCATCAATATTATTTTCATAACAACATATATGTAATGGTGTACAACCATCTTCATCAAAAATATTTACGCGTGCTCGATAAGTTTTTATTAAAAGACGTATTAAAACACTATCATTTTTTCGTGCTGCAATATGAAGAAGTTGAGTTTGACTTGGATATCCTAATAATAATTTAAAAATAATAAAATAAAATAATGAGAGAAGAAAAAAAAATAACACAACAAAAAAAATTGAACAAACCATTATGTGCATCAAATGTTGATAAATTAACATCAACCGTTACTTTAAGTAAATATATAATTAAATCATTATTTCGACTTGCTAATGCATAATGAGCTAAAACAAAACATATAAAATTTTAATTAATTTATTTGATATTTTAGACAAATATTGAAAATTAATCATCAAAAAATAATAAAGAGAAAGATTTGACAACTTATGTCTATATACATGTCTTTAAAAAGTTCAACTAGTTTTTAACAGTGTTATTTTCTATGTCATATAAATGGACTTCAAATAAACCGCAATAGTATAATTTTTATTTTATTTGTAAAAATATATAGAAGATGCCTCATAAATAACTAGACGATAAAAGAAGGCTCTGCATCTTGAAGCTTATCGGGCGTAAAGATTTTGGATCCGAATCTGGTTAACAGGAAAATTGTAGATGTTGATCTGACTGAGTTCGAAACCAATCCGATGGGCTCTACAGTATCTTCAGCCTCCTCATCCTTCTCAGAAAGTCTATTTTTCTAGAAACAATTGATTTCAAGACTTATACATATTCTGATAGTCTTTGCAATAGGCTTCAAGCTAGTATAATTTCTTTTGTCAAATGAAGAATGTTAAGTTGTTTTTTTCTGATGAACTGCTTCGACAGGTCTCGTCGCTGAGAAATATGAAACTGCATTGTATAGAAACTTCTGTAGCTTTATAGCACGAGAATTTATTTCATATAAGTTTCGATGATGTTTAATTGATTGCGTATATTTGGGGTGTGGGTGTTGGTGTGTTCTGTAGGTACAATAGAAGTCTCGCCCTCACACATCTGCACTCGTGCTCCATATCCATGTATAAAGAGCCATGACCACAACTTCGCTATTATGTGAGCTAGAATGTGGGTGAAATCTCTATTCTACCTACACCTAACACCTATACCTATTCCCACCCACAGTCACACCTTTTATTCATAAGAAAATTGTCAGATACATACTGGATAAGACTAGCACTATTGACCACAATGAAGAAATACTGTGTTGGCCGAAGGTATATCATCCTGCGATCTCAGGTATTCTTAGGAGTAGACATGTGAAATTTTCAGCGTATATATTAGCTTAGAAATATAGGCCAGTAAGATCAATCGAGCCTTATGTACTCAAGTGGAAGAAGAATTACGATCTATGCCAACTTTTCTTATTGTGAGTCCTATAGCTCAACAAGAAAAGAAGCTTATGACTCGGCGAACGGTTCATTATGTAGTCCTTTCATTCAACTATTTACGCTATAAATGTTAAATTTTCATCTAAGCGTTCAAAAGCTGAAGATATTTTACGTAATGATTGGTTGACTAGGTCGTAAACTTCTATCCTTCTTAAACTGTAGAAACCATAGTGAGAACAGCTATAATACATCATAACTTCTCTTCAATTCAAATGATCGAAACTAAAGTGGTCTTTTTAGCCTACATTTCTAAGGTAGTATATATGAAAAAAATTCAGATGTATAGCTTTGAGAACGGCTAAGAACATAAGTTCCGCATATAATACAGAAAATACGAAATCATATAGAATCAAGTAGACAAAAGGAATATGAAGCCATAAGACTTCACGATCTATCAAACATTTTGAATCCTATTGTTTCCTCGTAAGTACCTATTCAGAAAAAATAAATTGAAGGAAGAAAGAAACCTAATTCTCAATAGTTCTAATTAGTTTCGAATGAGTTCTTCAATTGAAATAATTTATAATCAAATGAAAATAAATCTGAATGAATGTAATACCTATTATTAAAAGTTCTTTAACAAAAAGTAAAATTCATACCTGCTGTCCATCCATAATCATTCTGTCTATTTGGATCACAACCTTTTCTTATTAAATAATCCACAATATTAATACATTCTGTTGTCTGTATTTCAGCTCGTGCAAGTAAATGTAAAGCTGTATTTCCTTCGTCTGTAATAGCATTTAATTGTGCTCCATTACGTTCAAATTCTTGTATCATAGCTAATTCTGGATGTGGTTCAGATAAAATATAACTTAATAATGCTTTATTTTCTTCTGCTGATGAAAAAAAAGGATCAGGTACATTTGTTTTTCCAAATAAAGATTTTCTTGCATCAGTTAATTTTGCAAATATTGAATGAGAATTTCTAGGGGGTTGTATATTTGGATTTATTGTTGTTATATTTGCTATTAGCTGACTTGTTGTGACATTACGAGGACTTTTGTTATCTGCATTATTGGCTACTGACATTGGTTGTAGTGATGATGATGAATTTGATGTAATTTCAGGTGCTGAAATCGTTGCTGTTAATGGATTATTTCTTATTGTAATTGATGGTTCAATTGATAAAACATTTTGATTTGTTAATCCATTATTAGTAGTATTATTATTATCATCATCGTTTGATGGATGAATTGAATGCCTAAAGAAATAATATTTTGATTTTATATTATTATCGTGTATAAATCAAATATACAAAAAGATCAATTTCAAAAAATGTATTTTCTTTGTGCTAATACAACATACAAATCGCAATATATGAATAAGAAAAAACTACAAATTCATATTAAAATTAGTAATATCTATGTTAAATCAAAAGAAAAACATGAATCACAGAGATTATATATCAATGTTTGCATGAAAAAATATTTAAAATTTCGTTTTTTTTAATTATATACTGGGTTGTACATAACCTTTTGCTAGAGGGGTAGTGCTATGATTTCAAGTTAAATACCTAATGAATTTTATACCAAATTAAAGACCGTCAAAAACTAGATTCATTAGTGCTAAATAGTAAGAGTTATCAAAATGCTTTAGTGTCGAATTTACAAAAGCTTCGGAAATTTTATGCTTTTTTTAGCATAGAAAATTAGGGCACCAGCAATTCAAATATAGTGTAAAATATTTTCTTTTGCTATTTTTACATGGTTCGATAGGGCCCGTCGAGCTCTACAAAACTATATATATTAAAAGTTTCTTGAGCCATTTTTCTGAGATAAAAAATCTAAAAAATTACTTGTAAAAACCTAAAAAATCTTTAAAAACTCGATTTTTTTATATGGAAGAAAAACACTCGATTTCGTCGATAAAATTAACTTTTTTCGTTATTTTTACTTACAAAGACGCTTCGAAATATACTCATCCGATGCAGCATGAAAAATTGCGTCTAATGAGTCTATCTCGAAGCGTCTTTATGAGTGAAAATAATGAAAAAACTAATTTTATTGAGAAAACCGAGTGTTTTTCTTCCCTATAAAAAACTGCTGGTGCCCTAATTTTCTATGCTAAAAAAAGCATAAAATTTCCGAAGCTTTTGTAAATTCGACACTAAAGTATTTTGATAACTCTTACTATTTAGTACTAATGAATCCAGTTTTTGACGGTCTTTAGTTTGGTATAAAATTCATTAGGTATTTAACTTGAAATCATAGCGCTACCCCCCTAGCAAAAGGTTATGCACAACCCGGTATATTCCTTGGTTACTAAATCAACTGTTTATTTATATCAATAATACTTACATGTCTCTTTTTCAACTTTCTTCTGTGTTATGTTTGTCAATTGATAGAAACAAAAAGATATACTCAACAAATGTCTCAATGATATACTAGTGTTTTCTTATTGGGTAGAGATACATTCGTAGAATACCAAAATGATTGTTTCTTTTTTCTCTTGCTAATTATTGATGATTAACTCAATAATTGTGATAAGCATAGCAAAGGAATCAATGTCCTTCTATTGAATGACAACAAAAGAGACAATTCTTTTAGTCATTAATGAATATTCTATTCCAACTAAATCTATTGATAATAAATTGTCTAATGTTTTTCTTTTTCATTAAATAATTAGAAAATAAACATATGTGTCAAGTTAGATCGATCAATCGCATATCAATCTAGTTATAAAAATTATTTACTTAAAGAAGAATCTATATAAAATTTTAAAAAAATATAAATATACAACTAACAGAGAATAAAATCAAATAATTTTTGACTGAGTTAATAAATAATAGATTAAATTATGTTTAATAATTTCAATTAAAAACAAAAAATCATGTTTTTTTTTCATTAGTTTGATAACGAAAAATATAACTATAGTAATTAACAATATTACGTCATAGTTATTTCATTTAATAAATTTATCATTAAAAAATCTTATTAACCAGATCATTCCTGGTATGGTTTATTGGGTTTTTCTTGTTTGAAAAAAGAAAAGAAAAAAGATAACTCATCAAAGAGTACGTCATTCTAATCAAACATTTCAATCAGTATTACGCATGAAAAATGTCTTTAACAGTTAATTATATCCTTCAGGTGAATGCGTTTGTAGCAACACATGTCGCTTAAACTTAATATTTTTCCTTGTATACAAAAAAAAAACAACTAGATAATACATATATATGTATGTTTATCAATTTGTAGAATACTCGATGAAAATATACATTGATAGCTATAATTTAATAAATGAAGATATAATAAGAAACAAGAAATAACTACCGCCGTTGTCGTGATGAACGCCGAGGCATATTGATTAAATCAATAATATATTATTGCGTTCAATATGGATGTTTTTTTTTTTTGTTGTCTGTAAGATAAATAAATGGTGTAAAACTCAGCTGTAGATCGTGATGAATGATATTGGATGACAAAAAAACTTTACTGCTGTTCTCATAGTGATATCAAACACTAAAAGAGAACAAAAGTATAAAATAATTCTCTTTTTCTCTTTTCTTTTTTAATCTGAAATACTGTCCTAACCAAATATTATATTATTCTCGTTAAAGATTGATTTGTTTTTTTCTTCGATATTCTCGTATTCTACGATATTATAATATAAGTTAAAATTTTGTCTATACTAACCGCTGTTCGTATATGTTTTTTACTGATGTTTTTAAACGTATCATAGACATTTTTCTTTTTTTTTTTGTTCTCATAATGACTAACAACGGAACTCATTTATACAATAGGAAAGGAATGAATCAATGAGAAAGAGAAACAAAACGAAAAAGACGCATCATTTGGTTTCAATTTTCGTTATGTGTATTGTCTTTACTTAATTTAGATGCGTTTCTACAACAAATCTTTTTGTTGCTTTTAGTACATATAAAAAGTTGATGTATCAAAGAATAAAATATTTCATAGAGTCAATAAAAATATTTAAAGATACAAAAATAAACTTATCAAATCGTTCAATTTGTATATTGAATATTCGTACATGTTTAATAAATTCTATATTATTTAGAATTTACTTACAAATGAATAATACGTGATACAAACGATTGTCTTCTTGAACGAGGCATATTGAAAATAATGATGATCACAACATATAAAACAATTATAACAATAATATCTGATGTTTCGGTTGTGTATATTTATTTAATATAGAAATGAGAAAATCGTTATTGACATGTGTTTAAAGAAAAAAAGAAAGAAACGATGAAAAATTAAATAACTAAACGTATGTATTAAATTTATACAAGAGCATTTAAGGAATGAGGATGACAAGCATTCAAGCATATATTATATTTATGTATACGTCAATATAGTGACAAATATGTATAAAGAACGAACGAAAAAGAAAGTCAATTTGAAGCACTATATTAGACTAATATATATGCACTGTATACATATCATCAATTGAATGGATAAAGACAACCCACTCACTCATCTTTTTCTCTATAGTTTATCACTGCCCATTTTCAACAAGATATGTGATCAATTAGTTTGACGTACATAGGAGACGTATTGAATCATTATAATGATTAGTAATAGAATCTATCAATTTTCTTTTTTTTTTTCTTTGCTTTGTAAACATTGAATAGTTATTTGTCAAGAATGACACATAGATTTTCAATTTGATGTTATGCATAAGAGACGAATTAGTTAATAAACGCTTGAATATTATAATTCTACAAAAAAATTATGTAAAGAATTGTTTTGATGTTATTATTGTCGAATACTTCGAATGATTATGATCTAGACTATCAACGAGTTGTTGTTGTTGTTGTTATTGTTGTTTTTCCTTGATTATATTATCAGATTTTACTAGCTATCAATCATAACCAGATATAGTATCTAGTTTTTGTCATTGATAAGTCTAAGTTTTCATCGCATATGTTATTTTTTATGTACTGATAGTACACTTAATTAAATGAAGCTTCGATAGTTACTTAGATCTAACCAAAAGTTCTAAGAACATTAAAGAATAATATAAAGATAATAAGATATTTTTAATTTAATTTTATCAAATGTTGAGAATAGTTGCCATGATTATTTATATCAAGTTCAATCCTTTCGACAAAATCTGCTAAAAGTTTTTTCTTGACCTCTTTTTCTAAAAAAATTTTAGCTACTTTGGAAACCACATGAGCCAATTGTATATCATCTGTTTTAAACATTTAATGGAATTTTGTTCGAACATGTCAGTTGCATTCTAGCGCTACTAGTGATGTGATATCGATCTATTTTAGATAGGTTGGCCATAAATCATCTAATGCTAACTCGCTTATTGAAGATGAATTGACAAAGACTGTGGTTCATGAAGACAGATTTTAACCAAAACTTTGTTTAGTATATTCTTTAAATTAAATAATTCTGGGTGTAGATAAAGGCAAGACTGTAAATCACAATTATTATATTGAAAATTGCTCGAAGCCTTTTGTTAATGAAATATGGAAACAAACATGGACATTAGATTCAAAATGTACGAAATTGTTTGACGATCATCGTTGACTTCATACTCATCCAATGTTATTAATTCTATGACTGAAGAAGGCATCAATTTAATGTCATACCCAATATATTCGCCAGGCCTGATACCATATAATTTTTGGCTAACTAATTCTATAGAAGGTAGTTTAAGTGATTAAATAAATGAAATATAATTAGCTCATATGGTTTCCGAGGTAGCTAAAATTTTTTTAGAAAAAGAGGCCAAAAAAACTTTTAGTAGATTTTGTCGAACGGATTGAACTTGATATAAATAATCATGGCAACTGTTCTCAACATTTGATAAAATAAAATTAAAAATATCTTATTATCTTTATTTTATTCTTTAATGTTCTTAGAACTTTTAGTTAGATCTAAGTATATAATCGATTTTTGATAATTTAAAATACTGTCAATTCGAATTTTAAAAGTTCAAAATATAAAATTAATTTCTTTTATTTAAAATGAAATCAAAAGATATGTTTATAAAGTTTCTTTTAAACATTTAATAATTGTTTCATTATCAATTCCAGCTCCACTTAAAACTGCTACAATTTTTAATGGTTGATTAGAATCTTTTCTTCTTAAGCCAGCTTGACCATTTTCTACATAATTCATATAATGCCATAATCCAGCAGCTAATGTTGTTGCACTAGCACCTTCACATATTAAATGATTTCTTTCTATTAATATTTTTAATGCTTTAGCTGTTTCTTTTAATGTAACAACAATAGAATTATCAACACAAGTTTTAACTAATGGCCACATTTCATTTAATACACTTGAACTACCTATTCCATCAACCCAAGATTTTTCTATTGGAATTTCAGTTATTTTATTCTTTTTAAATGCAGCAGCAAGAGGAGCAGCTGTTTCAATTTCACAAGCTAAAACATCAATTGATGGTTTCAGATGTTTAGCTAAAGATGCAATACCAGTAATTAAAGCACCACCACCATAAGGTACTAAACATATAAAGTCATAAATAGATAATTTTTAAAAAATAAAATGAAAGTTGTACTTGTTTTTCTTTTACGAGAAATAATTTCTTACAGATTAAACTCTGTGAAACACAATCTAAAAAGGAATGTTGAAGTATAGGAATAAAAATTTGGATCTTCCACGAATTGCGACTAGAGTTCGTCGGGTGGAATGTTAAAGAAATGTATTCCAAAATAGATAGAATAAAACAACCTCCCTTTGAGATTAGCAATAGCAACTACATTGTGTTTTACATTTTAATCCCATAGAAACTCGGCTAACAGGCTTTTTTTTACTCTTTGTGAATATTTTTCTTTAATTGTCTATATCGATTTACCTAATATTGCATCACAATCAGGTAATTCATCTAATATTTCCAATGCAATAGTACCATGTCCTGCCATAACATTTCGATCACATACTGGATGAATAAAATGTCCATTTAATATTGAACATTGATGAGTAACAATAACTTGCCACCATTGTTCAAAACTACATTTAGTAATTTTTCCTCCTAATCTTTCAATTGCTTTTAATTTAACTTCATTTGCTGTGTCAGGTACTAAAACTTGACATTTTATATTTTCTTTTCGAGCCATCCAAGCTAAACCTTGTGCCATATTACCAGCTGATGCTGTTACAATACCATTTTGTTTTTCTTCTATAGATAAAATTTTAACAGCATTTCCAGCACCACGTATTTTAAATGATGATATTGGTTGAAATTGTTCACATTTTAAATAAATTTCAATTCCAGGAATTTCATAATTTAATTTAAGAAGTGGAGTACGAGTTATAATATCACGTAAACGTGTTTGAGCTTCATAAATTTCATCAATTGATGGAATAGAAAGAGTAAAAGACATTTTCTTTTTTGTTCTTCTTAACAAAAGAAACCTACTTTTTTTATCACACAAAATGAATACCGAATCAAATTGATGCAAATGTTATCGTAGAAATAGTGTAAATGTAAATTGTGTTTTTTTTTCTTGTTTTATTAGTGACATCAGGATTTATATATCTTATCTTTTGTTTCTATTCTCGTTCCACTATTTCTCAATAAAACACACAAGCTAAGTTATATAATAAAACGACTTGTGGTTTTTTTCCGAAGGTAGTTTATTAATATTTTGAAATATCAGACATATGACAACGATAATCACAATTGTCTTCTAAAAATGCTTCATTTTTCAAAAATACTGCAATTTTGTAATATTAAGAAAAAAAAGATTATAGTATGATTTGTTTGTTTATAATCATATGCAAACATTTTTCAAATTAACAAGGCAGTATTACGAAGAAAAAAAAATCATAAAACTAATGAACTTTCAACAAATATTGAATTATTTAAAGAACGAATATTCGCTTTCGATGTCAGCGAATGCCGATCTTTCGTTAATAGTACAAAAAGTATTAAAAAACTACGTTGAGAATTAATAAGTCTTTTCACCTAATATTCTAAATATTTCAAATTTTTCTTGTAAAAATCTTCTCGTAAACAATATTATAAACTAAACTAAGTAATTGTATTTGAATATAATCTGAATAATCATACAATCAAATAGATATTGTCTCATCGAAAATATTTTGAATGGAAAAAAAATCGATATTGAAATTCCCTCTATTGTGAATATAATGAAGTTGGCATTACTAATCTTACGAGTCTATTATGTCAGCCTATTTGCAGACATTAGATAATTTTCTAATGAGTGATGTCATCCTGAGAGAATATGCAATTATTACAACAAAAAGAGTCATTATAATCAATGAAGTAATAATAATAATAATCATGGTTATCACCAGGACTCCATGTGAAATGGGAAAATTCCATTCTATTGGATGAAAATCTGTCAGAACTATTCCATCTCATGAGGCGAATTTCTTCGACCGTTCCCATTCTACATGGAGACCTAGTTGCATAAATATAAAAAACTCCGTAAATTCCTTTCCGTAATGGAAGACATTCCCCTAATCAATTAATTTCTCTCGAACTCGAAAGTTTATATACGTTGAAACATGTCTAGTTATAAAGAATATCAATCGTTTTCAGTAGCTATATTTCAAAATATTATTAACTTGTAAGTAGTCATTGACTTGTCTAAGGAAAAAGATGCAAAAATTCAAAATATTAATTTCAGACATAGTTTGACAATTAGTGCAAATTGACTATAAAAAATAAATAAATTACAGCCCGATCAAACAAACTTTAGTGTAAATATTCTTATTGTCACCAAAATCATAGTTTTCTTTCTTGTGCTCGCAAACAGCAAGATTTTTACAAGATATAACTTTCAGTCAGTCATATTCGATGTTGAATATATTGAACCAAATTCGCAGAGTCAGAACCGTCTTGATCTTCTTCTATAATTTGTCTAAGGACTTTGAGTAAAGTTCAATAGTAATGACGCCATGAATACATTGACGAAAATAAAAGTTATAACTAGAGATGAACGAAGCCAGTCTCAACCCTGACAGCCGAAATCTGGATCGGGATCACAACAGTCAGAAGTTGCTGAGATCATAATCGGGACTTTGAGAAAAGAACTTGCCAAGACCTGAACTTAAGTTTATAGTAAAATATTCTATGGTTTTAAGCAAATTACGTTATACG